AGTTGCAAGAAAAGACTTGGGAAAAGTAGACTTTATTTCAACTAAAAATTGTGGGTTTTATTTTTTCTAAAAAAAAAAGATATTGAAAGATAACTGTAATCTCTTCTGCATATACACAGGCTGGAATAAATTTGAAATTAAAAGTCTTTCTGGGCAACCCCCTCGGGTCTCCTCCTACAGTGGAAGTTTTTCTGTCCTCTCAATAAATCTTGCTTCCTCAGAAAAAAAAAAAAGTTTTTCTTTCACAAAGGCGACTAGCCAGAAAAATGTATATTCATTTTTCTAGTGGGAGAAATGTACATAAAAATGATTAATGAAGGTACAGCTTGTTAAGTTCTATAATCTAAGAAACACAGGTAGAGCCCTTGGCATCGAGTCTGGCACATAGTAGATACTCATAGATTGCTGCTGTTTCTGTATACAAAAAGGGTCTCTGAAAGCATAGTGGCAATGACCTGTTACCAATCCTTTACACGTCAGAGAACTTCTCCCAAAGGAAGTGACTCTTAAGCTGAACAGAGGGGATTTATCAAGAATGTTGAGATAGCTGTGCGGAGCAGGGTGGCCCTAGAGATCTCAGGTACTAGAGCTAGAAAGTCAATAGTCTAGGTTGTTCCTATCTCTTTCTCTCATCTCTTCTTATTTCTCCTTAAACTAATTCCTTCCTCCTATAGGCAAGCATTCCCTCATAACAGGGAATATGGCCAAGGTCACCCCCAGGATTACCTGCTTCTAGCTCCTTGCACAGAAAGGCAGGGAAATTCTTCCCCATGACCACAAGTGTAAAATTTCTATGGATGTGCTGTGCTCCCATGTGGGTCCTCTTCCTGAACCAAGGGAGCGAGGGATACTGTGACTGGCCCAATCCTGTTTCAGGGAGTGAGAGGTATTACTAGAAGAAGGGAATAAAGAGGAGGAGACATGGTGGGTAAAGACCCCCTACCTTAGCAACTGCTTCAGCTTCTGTTACCAACCTGCCTTATTTTTTTCACAATAATTATCATCCAACTTTGTCCTCATTTGTGTGTTTTTTCTGGGTTTTTCAGGGTTTTATTTAATCTTTTCTTCTAGAACATAAGGCCAGTTAGGACAGGGTATTTGTTGATTATTGCCTAATGCTATGTTCCCAGAACTAGAACAGTACCTGGCACACAGAAGATGCTCATTGAGTATCTGTGGAATGATTCGCTTCCACCAGCAGAGAGTGGTGGGTAGAGAGTAGGGGACCAGGCTGGAAAAGTAGAACCTCAGAACACTCTAGAATAGGATCAGCTACCTTACACATCACAAAGGAAGCAGAACGTGTTGAGTGGTAAACAGAGAGATATCTGGAGTGTCTCAGACACTATAAGTCATTTGCCAGTCCTGACTGGTTCTTGTTATCTCTGACAAGGAGGAATAAGAGAAGAACAGATGAATAAAATAACCCAAAAATATCATGGCAGTTGGTAGTTCTCACCTCCCTCATTAGCACACTTATACTAGAACAATTAAGTAGCAGTGGACATCCTGGACTGATCTGAGTTGACTCTCTGTTCCCTTCCCAGGAGTGCTGTCTGTAGAAACAAAAAACTACTGGCTTCCTAAGGAGAGCAGAGACGATGTCATTGGACCCCAAGAAAGGAGAATATAGACTCTGCGAACCTTTGTGATGGTTTTTATCTTCTACCCTCCCCCAGAAGCTTAATTTTAGGTGATCAAAAAACAAAATGTGGTGACTTAGTGGAAACCAATACAACTGTTCGTCCAGCTGGTGTCCATGTCTTAATTTCTGGCTGAAGGACTAGCCTCTCACTTCACCCTGAGCTTCCCAGGGGACCAGTTTGGCCAAGGACAGCCATGGGTGGCCTGGGTATCACTTTTCAAACTGGCCATACCATTCATCCAGCTCTTGCACTGGCTCCAAGGTTGGATTCTTGGCTTTCTACTCAGACGTGAACATAACCTTTCTGTTTTTCTTTCCCATAATTAGCTGTGAGACAGCTGCTGAAGCACGTTGACTTTTCCTTTTTTCCTTTCTGTTTTCCTGTGGTTTGTGGGGTGGGGGTGGAGAAGATATTGGGTCTTTGCGGGAGCCTTTCTGGTATATCTTCTTGAAGATCCAGTTCTGTGATGCTATGCTAAGCAGCATGTAGTTGTGTCATCTCCAGATGTGACCAGCAGCCCAGTTCCTGAGTGTCTGCCTTCTCTGAAGGGGAATTGGGCCCAAGGCATCTAGATTTGGGGTGTAGATGGAAAAAGAGAGAGAGGAATGTAAGGCTGTGTGTAAAGATGTGTCCCTAACTACATTTATAAATGTTATGTGGTTTATATATATATTGAAATTTACCCATCTGAGTGAGTACATTCATGGTAGTAGTTATAACTATAGCCGATACATTTAGAGTACTTTACTCTGCATTGGGCATTTTCCTTCCATATGTGAATACATGCAACCCTCTCAGCAACTCTGTGAGATAGGCATTGCTATTAGCCCCATTTTACAGATGAGAAAACTGAGGTCACACTGCTGGCAAGGGGTAGAGCCAGGATTTAAACTCAGTCAGTCTGGCTTCCAAAATAATTATCTTTTCTTTCTTTTCTTTATTATTAAACATATTTTTTATTTTAAAATTGTGGGGTACAGTTAAGGGTTAAGGGTTAGGTATACAAATATGCATCGTTCAGGCACCCTTGTGGATAAGGGGTATCCCCCCCCATCCCCAGACAGATATTGACAACCATTAATCCCACCACCCTTGCCCTCCCTGTCCCCGCCCCATAGATTCCGACCACTGTCGATCCTTTTCTTATAGTATTACGATACATGTTCAAGGTCCACTTTTTTTTTTTTTTTGAGTTGGAGTCTCACTCTGTCGCTCAGGCTGGAGTGCAGTGGCACACTGCTCACGGCAACCGTAGCCTCGACCTGCTGGGCTCAGGCAATCCTTCCGCTTCAGCCTTCCAAGTAGCTGGAACTACAGGCACGTGCCACCACACCTGGCTACTTTTTTGATCTATTGTAGAGATGAGGTCTCGCCAAGTTGCCCAGGCTGGTCTTGAACCCATAGGCTCAGGCAATCCTCTCACCTCAGCCTTCCAAAGTGCTGAGATTATAGGCGTGAGCCACTGCACCCGGCCCCAAAATCATTCTCTTAACCATTACCCTAGATAGCCTCTCTCTTGCAATAGCTGCATGCTGCATAATAATGATTGATCGCATATACAAGAGTGGTCTCATAGAATTATAACATAGGTTGGCTATCCCTAAGCTGACAATCTGAAATCTGAAATGCTCCAAAATTGAAAACTGGAGCAAAGACATGAGTTGCTTAACCAGTAAGTATAATGCAAATATTCCAAAATCCAAAAAATCTGAAGCACTTCTGCTTCCAAGCATTTGGATAAGGGATAGTCAACCTGTATTTTTGCTGTACCTCTTCTTTGTTTAGGTACACCAGTCCTTCCCATTGTGTTGCAATTGTCTGCAGTATTCAGTACAGTCACATGCTTTACAGGCTTGTAACCTAGGAGCAATAGGCAAGACCATGTAGGCTAGGTGTGTATTAGGTTGGACCATCGAGGTACGTGGAGATACACCCTGTGATGTTTGTACAACAATGAAATCACCTAAGACACATTTCTAAGACGGTATTCCCATGGTTAAGCAATGCATGACTGTGTTTATGGTTTGGTGATCTAGACATAAACAACATTAGCTGAGGAACATATCCAGGTTAGCATCCTCTACAGAATAAGGAGATGGTAAGTGTCCAGTAGCATAGGGGAAGATGCTGATGGGTGAGCTATAACTATCCCAGAGATGGCCAAATGTTTTCAGGTTTACCATTTGGAATTTTGTAGACAGAGTTCTGTGTTAGAATCACAGTTTTGCCACTGACTGTGTAACCTCAGTCAAGTGACTTCATGATCATTTGATTCTTAATTTTTCTTATTCTGATTCTTATTTTTCTCTTCTGTAAAACAGGGATAATGTTAACCATGTCATGAGGATTAAATAATATAATATACAAAAAACATTACGTGTAGCCTCAGACACATTATGAGTGTTCAACGAAAGTGACCTTTGTTTTCCAGCCATTTGGCCTATTCTCAGCAGATAAATAATCCAAGATAATTACTTGCATTTCCAAAGAAATTAAATATAAAACCATATCCAATTTAGGTCTATAATGTGCAGTGAGTCATGAGCTCTTCCTTTTCCAGCCAGTCGGGCCTGGCTTTTGTTCAAGTCCTGGTTAACTTTTGACCTACAAGTGAGCTACCTTAATTTCCATAACTGGAATGTCTGCCTTCCTCTGGAGGGTCATGTCAGCTCTGCTCACCCAAGCTTCTGACAATCTACTCTCCAGGGGCATTCATCAGGTCTTCTGTGTGGAGGTTGCAGGGTGTTGCTGTCAGCCCTGTCCTTGTCCACTCACCCATTCCTTTCTCTTGCTGCAAAACCTGTATGTGTCTTGTAAATTACAGCCACTCCATCCCCCTAAAGGGCCTCCCCCTGCTGAGTGTGTCAGAGGCTCCGGGTATAATTGATGGATGCAGCCAGCAAAGGCACTTCCTGTGAAGGCATTGGCTCCCGGGGCATCCTAGACAGTTTAGACCAGTGTACCCAAAATTGCTAGCAGGAAGAATATTTATTTTTCCTTTCTATTGCAAATGCAGCAGGGACCTTTGTGAGCATCCCGGGAAATCCAGCCACAGTATGGCATTCCACTTTTTGCTGATGAGAACGTGCCCCTCTGCTCGTGTTGTCCTGGTTTTAAGCGACAGTCTGGAGGATATTAAATTGAGGTTTATCTTTGAGTGACCAGAGTTATTTTTGTTTTCGTCAGCCTGGATGATTATAATGAATGCTAAGACACTGGCGGGAACAAGGCTTTTATTATAATACGAGGGTGAGGATGGCTTTGACTGACCTTTCTTCTGCTGGAGTTCCAGTGTTTTAGTATGTGCTGCTTGTGCTGGAAAGAATTTATAATCACAGGCTGTCAAAGACGGCCATTGTTCTCCCTGCTCTGAACATGTGGGTCAGCCGCAAGTGCTTCCAGCACCCCCAACGCCAAGGGCTGGCGGAGAGCAGGAGCATGCCTGGATTCTTCTGAGGCATCAGGAAAAGCGTTTTGCATATTTTTCATTGCTTTTTTTTTTTTTTTTTTAACTTTTTGCCTCAGAAAGACAGCTCCCTTTCAGAGCAGGAATTTCCCTTCAAGGTAGCAGGAGATGGACTCACGCTGCTCCAGGATTTTACAGAACTGATTTTGCTGCAAAAAACAAACGCTGCTTGCAACTGCCAGAGAGCATAAACAGGGGCAGTCGCACAGCTAGACCAGGGGCTCATTCCCGGACAGAATGCAGTTAATGGATCCCGAAAGCCAAGTCAAGGTTAAGGTCTTGGTTTTTCGCTTTTGCTTTTATCTTTCCTTGTATTTCTGTGAATCCCAACTTTGTGATCCTTGATTCTCATTCCTTTGCTTCTTCTTTTTAAAAAAAAAAAAACATGATGGAGTATGAGTTACTTGGGGACTTTTTAAATGCTCTGCATGCTTTTCTGATTGGGAAAGTTGCAGTAGAGGAGAGCTGAGGGACAGATGATGACTTGTGGATAACAATCGATCCCGTAACTGGTTGCCACAAACCTTTCCAGACTGACATGATCTGCAGGACTTTTTTTTTTTTAGAGTCCACCGGAGACTGATTTTCCTGATATTGTAGGCGAGAAAGCAGTCATGGTCTGTAATATTTCATTTTCTTTCTGCACAGGAGACTGATGACATTGAGAGTCCTAAACGCAGTATCCGGGACAGTGGCTACATTGACTGCTGGGATTCCGAGCGCAGCGATTCCCTCTCTCCCCCGCGTCACGGCCGAGATGACTCCTTCGACAGCCTGGACTCCTTTGGCTCTCGCTCCCGGCAGACACCTTCTCCAGATGTAGTCCTCAGGGGAAGCAGTGATGGTAGGTCGGAATCTTAATAAACTGCATCTCAGAATTGATCATTAACGGCCTGCCCTGTCGCCCGCAGAGGGATGGGCTGGGAAGACGAATTCCATGCCCACCTTGCTGGAACCTGGTAATTCTAGAAATTGGCAGGGAAAAAGTCTCTGAGTGTTGTTTTTCATGGTCCTTAGAATCTTGGTTGGCTGTGCCAGGAGTTTATTTGAGCATTGCCTCAGTGAGCATATCTTCTGTTGGAAAAAGTGTTACATCATTCCTCCCTCAGTCTCTGAATCAAGATGCTGTGCAGACCATTAGCTCATAAAGTGTGCCGGAGGTTTATATACTCTGGGCACAAGAACAGGAAATGTTTGAGTGAGTACCACACTGCACAAGTGAAAATGGATCAACTTCCAACAAACTGGAAGTGCACTGTGCACACTTAGGAAAATTCTGAAGCCTGAGCTTGTGCGACTTTAATGGGCATGGTTCTTGGTAACGTTTGATGCTTATGATACCTGAACAGCTGATCAGCATGACACAGGTGGCCATTCATAAACAGTACCCAACCCACACTGTCTGTTTGTTCTGATGCTGGGTTGGATTGAAATCTTGTGGGTTTTATATCATCTGTAAGAAATAATCATTTTTCTTTTCAAAAATGTTATAGTCTTATAACCTGATACAAATACAATGCCTGTTTTTCAGAGGGTGGTTGCCTCACTTATTTGTATACTTTTAGCAAGGAAAGACAACTTAGCTCTGCATATATAAACTTGCAGAAAGGCACTGAGGTTGGGAGGGGGCATTTTTTATTTGTTTCTATTTTTTTACTGCTTGATTGATGCTAATATAGCTAGAGACTTAAGCCTACTCTCTGAGATCAAAACGAACTTTTGTAGCTAAAAGATCTCTTTCAGCTATAAAATTATGTGCTGCTAAAAGAATTGAGTATTTAATGTATCCAGTTGGCATGTAGTATCTCATTTAGTTCTCAGCACACATCTCAGATACTCATGCAGTGTCTCACCTAGTCTTCCTACAGAACTGTGTGACATTCCTTCTTATCCTTATTTTATAAATGAGCCTTTGAAAATTTAATAATCCTAATATTTACAGGTTATAAAAAATTACTGTCATGAAGTAGCCTAACAATGTTAGCTTCAAGAAGTGTGAGTTCAAAACTTCTGTGCTTAAATTTAATTTACCCATACTTCTTTCTCTTTGCCTAACAGATGTTTTATTCTAGAATGACTTAACTAACGCTTTTGTTGAGGGCTTAAATTTTCCAACAAACAGATTAGCCTTGGGGCCACATAGTATGTGACTCCGAAAGAATTCCATGGTATTGTGTGCCTTTTGAAAAACATTTCTAAAATTTTAGAAGACATCCTCAGTACCACCCACGGCATTAGAAGTTAAATGCCAAGTTCATAATCTAATTGAGATGTAACATAAGCAAAAAGTAGATTTACTTTTCCAAAACATATCTTAACCAAACTATTTTGTCCATATCATTTTGATTGGTTTTTAAAAAATTATTGTGTTAGTCTGGGCGCCATTGGCTCATTCCTGTAATCCCAACAATTTGGGAGGCCAAGGCAGGAGGATTACTTGAGCACAGGAGTTTGAGACTAGCTTCTACAACATAGGAAGACCTCCTCTCTATAAAAAAAAAATAAAAAAATTAGCCAGGTGTGGTGGTACGCACCTGTAGTCCCAGCTACTTGAGAGGCTGAAGCAGAAGGATTATCTGAGCCCAGAAGGTTGAGGCTGCCATAATCTGTGATTGTGCCACTGCATTCCAGCCTGGGCAGCAAAGTAAGATCCTGACTCAAAAAAATTGCATTTTTTATTCTGTTTTTTAAAAAATGACTAGTGATGTAGATCCTCTATTTATTCTGTTACCAGTTTTGAGAGATTCAGAGTTAATAAGGAACCACATCTTGAAGAGATTTGAAATGGTAATAACTAATATTATACTAATATGTACTGAGGTGCAATTAAGTTAGCAGCAATTAAGATTGATAAGTCAGAGTCTTTTTATAAATGTTTTCTCCATAAATAAAAAGCCATGAATTGAGTTTCACAAAACACTTTCCATGAAAGAGCATCTTACACAGATTTCACCAATCAGCCCAATACCTTAAGACTTATGTTCTTATAAACTAATCAAGACCTTAAGAAAAACAATGCATTTATTAATCTGCCTTTTAAATTGTAGTATAATTTCAGCCAAATAGATGTTGCATTTCATAAGTGCTTATGGTTTGTTTTTTTAAAAATAATGCTAATTAAGAAGATTGCTAGTCCTAATAAATACTTCCAAATTTGGGAAAAAAAATTTTTAAGTCTTAAGGATTTATGTTCTAGGACTCACAGTCAATTAGGGAAAGTCTTATCATGAAATTCTTCAACTCTATATTGGTCAATATGAAGATCTTGTATTTTATTTTTATTGTTGTCTGCTGATCCATTCCATAATGATAATCAAATGAGCCCTCCCAAGAAGTACCATAATTCTATGGGTTGGACCCAAGAGCTACCTGGTAGGAATTCTGTAGAGCTCCAGGGTTGATGCAACCAATCTGCCTTGCTGGACATGTGTCCTCACCGTCACCATTTCTTCACTCTTCTGAGGCCACTTAATGGGTTTCCTTGAAGAGGAAGTACCAAATCTTCTACTCAGGCACTTTTAAAATTAATAACGTATTTGATAAATATGACACATTGGGTTATATAAATAGTCTTGATGCGTTAAGAAAGACAAATAGGAATGAGAGAAATTAAAGTACTAGAGGAAGATAAAAATATAAAGAGTTGGGGGGTGTATGACAAAGATACATATAAAAAAAAAGAAAAAAGAAAGACCTCTAGTTGCTAAGAGAGAAATGTAGCCTCATGGAAAGGGAGGGTCAGACTTTGATAAAATGATATCATGATCGTGTGCTATATTGCATTTTCCTAACTCTGAACATAAATGGAGAAACCACCCTAGTAAGTGCCCATGTTTACAGAATGAAGTGAAGTCAAAATCTCAGATAAGAAGAGCTGTAGCATTTACTGAGGGTAGATTGTGCCAACCACTTCCTAGGTGCTTAATGCCATCTCATTAAATCCTCACACAACTTACCAGACCTGTGTTACCACTTCTATGTATCCCATGAGGATCCTGAAGTACGGGAGATTTACATTTCCAAGGGTCACACAGATGATGGAGCTGATGATGGAGCTGAAATTAAACCCTGGTCTCTAAGTTCATAAACCTGCATTTCTTTCAACTGAGCCTTTCTGTCTGGGGCATTTGCAAGTTAACATTTCTTGAAATGTCTGAGACATTCACCAAAGAATAATTGGACCGAACTTGATCTACTTAGATGTTAAGTATTTTGAGACATTCAGTCTTTTTTAAATTTTTATTTAAGTTTTAATTTTAGAAATGTGGGGTACAATCCAGGGCTAAGTATACAAGTGTTCATTATACAGGTAACCTTGTTGATGAGGTTTGCCCCCCACCCCCCGGCAGAATCCCACTACTGCCAGCCCAACTCTCACCCTGGTAGTTTCCCACTACTGACAATCCTTATCCTATAATATTACTATAATTGTTCAAGGTCCACTTATGAGTGAGAACATGTGATACTCAGTTCTTTGTCTCTGTGATAGATCACTCAGTATTATGGACTCTAATTCTATCCAAGCTGCTGCAAAGTTTATAATTTTATCCTTCTTTATGGCTGCGTAATACTCCATCATGTATATGTACCACATTTTTAAAAATCCAGTCCTCTTTTGATGGGCAGCACGATTGGTTCCATGTTTTTGCTATTGTGAATAATGCTGTAATAAACGTGTGTGCAGATATCTTTTTCTTAGAGTGATTTGAGTTCCTCCGGGTATATTCCCAGTAGGGGGATTGCAGGGTTGTATGGAAGGTTGATGTTCAGGCGTTTTAGGAATTGCCAAACTGTTTTCCACAGAGACTGTACTAGTTTACACTCCCACCAACAGTGTAGAAGTTGTTTTTTGTTTTTTTATTTTTTTTGAATCAGAGTCTCACTCTGTCGCCCAGGCTGGAGTCCAGTGGCATACTCACAGCCACCCCAGCATTGATCCGCTGGGTTCAGGCATTCCTTCTGCCTCAGCCTTCCAAAAAGTTGGAACTACAAGCACGCACTATCATGCCCGGCTAATTTTTTTTAATATACATATAAATTTTAGAGATGAGTTCTCACCAAGTTGCCCGGGCTAATCTCAAACCCCTGGGCTCAGGCAATCCTCTTGCCTTGGCCTCCCAAAGTGCTGGGATTACAAGCTTGAGTCACTGCACCCAGCCATCTTTTTTAAAAAAAATTTTTAAAAGTCAGAGTCTCACTCTGTCTTCCAGGATTCAGTGCAGTGGCATAATCACAGCTAACCACAGCTCCAAACTCCTGGGCTCAGGCCATCCTCCCGCCTTAGCTCCCGAGTCACTGGGACTACAGGTGCATGCTACCATGCCTGACTAATTCTTTTATTTTTTGTAGAGATAAGGTCTTGCTATGTTGCCTAGGCTGTTCTCAAACTCCTGGACTCGAGCACTCATCCCATCTTGGCTTCCCCAAAGTGTTGAGATTACAGGCGTGAGCCACGGTATCTGGCTGAGACTTTCACTGTTATTTCACAGATAATATATTTTAGGTATTATACACAAATAAGGTTTGTAGAGTACAGGATTTTAGGATTGAAGGACCTGAGACAGCTTGGATCCATTACTAAGCTTTCATAGTTGATTGAAGAATCCTTTTCTTTCATTTCTTTACCCAACAAACTGCAGTACTTCTCCTAGTCAGGACGCTTTAAGCAGAGGACATTTTCCCGAGAGAGATGTGTCACAGAGGACAAAACTTTAGCTGAGAGTCAACAACAGAAATTGGAGTTTCAGAGCTGTTACTGACCAGCCCTGAAGAAGGGGGGCCTTCAGCCCTCCAAGCCTCTGTTTCCACCTCTATAAAATGGAAATAATATCAAGCGGGGAAGCAAATGTAAGAGTTTGGCAAGGTAAGGTAGTACTCGTATTTATAAAACATTCACAGGGAGCTCTCATCATTTCATTACGACACTGAGGCAGGCAGACACACTTGTTCAAAGACTCGGGGTGGGATGGGAGCTAAATTATGAATCAGACACTGTACTAACAAGTCATGAAATGGTCAAAACTTCAGACGGGAGACTGAGAGCAAGTGGCATGAATAATTCATACACTGAATATTTCATCTCCAACAATGAGCAACTTGTTTATGGTCAGTGCTTTTAACTTTTTTGCAAGCCATTATGTCATTTAATCTCCAGGGCAAATCATCTCACTCCTATTTTACAGAAGAGGACAGTCGAGTGTTGGAGACGAGCCTAGGCACCCACAGTTCGTTTCTGGCCAATCCAAGCTATTATGACATAAAGAATAGTCAGCATTCATTAAACACTTAGTCTGTGCCAAGGATGGTACCAATAACTCTACATGTGTCTGGTCTTCCCAACAGCCCTACGAATTATCTTCATTTTATATATTGGGAAACCAAGGCTTAAAGGGAGAAGTAACATGTGCAAAGTCTCATACCAGTGGGTAGTGTAGCTCAGAATGAAGTGGATCTGACTTAACACCCTGTCTACTACCCCCTCCGACCAGCTACCACATCTCTTGGCTCTTAGTTTAAGGCTGTTTTCTTAAATATATTTATATTTGTTATCAGGGGAGTTGAATAATCTTGTACTGCTCTCATTGATTAAGAGTTTTCACTCATGTCTAACAAAAAAAAATTAATCCCAGCACTTTGGGAGGCTGAGGATCACTTGAAGCTAGGAGTTCGAGATCGCCTGAGACAACATATAGCAAGATTACATCTCAATGACTTTTTTTTTGAGTTGGAGTCTCACTGTCGCCCAGGTTGGAGTGCAGTGGCATGCTCATGGCCACCCCAGCATCGACCTGCTGGGCTCCAGCAATCCTTCCGCCTCAGCCTTCCAAGTAGCCTGAACTACAGGCGCACACTACCATGTGCAGCTAAAAGGCGCACACTAACACGCCCGGCTAATTTTTGATTTACTGTAGAGACAAGGTCTCTCCAAGTTGCCTGGGCTAGTCTCGAACCCATGGGCTTAGGCAATCCCCTCACCTCTGCCTCCCAGAGTGCTGGGATTACAGGCTGAGCCACCGAACGCGGCCAACAACATTTAAAAAAAATTATTTAGGCACAGGCCTGTAATCCTAGCTACTCAGGAGGCTGAGGTGAGAGGATCATTGGATCCCAGGAGTTCAAGCCTCCAGAGTGGGCAACAGAGTGAGATCCTGTTTAAAAAAAAAAAAAATTGTAAAGAGTGTTTTCAACCTGCATTGAAATGGTGGTTACCTATATGAAAGTGTTCTTTGTAATTATAGCTTCATTGAATAGATCTTAGAAATCTAATGAGATGATGCTCAAGAAACAAAAATATAGTACAATTACTAGAGGTATTATCCAATAAAAGGCTGGTGATGGCAATATTAAATTCATTTGTGTTGTCTAAAACACTCTACGCCAAACCAACTCATTTATTTTCATCATATTATCTGAGGTTGCTCAATATGTAAAGGCAATGGAGAAAAAATTGTGAAATCTATAAAGCCCTTGTTCTCGAAATATAAAGGTAAAGCTGGGCGCAGTGACTCTGCCTACAATCCTAACACTTCGGGAGGCTGGGGCAAGAGGATTGCTTGAACCCAGGAATTCAAGACCAGCCTGGGCAACAAAGTGAGACCTTGTCTCTACAAAATAAAAAATTAGATGGGCATGATGGTGCACACCTGTAACCCTAGCTACTCAGGAGGCTAAGGCAGAAGAATTGCCTGAGCCCAGGAGGTGAGGCTGCAGTGAGTGCTGTGATCATGCCACTGCACTCCAGTCTGGGCAACAGAGTGAGACTGACTCAAAAAAGGAAGGAAGAGAGGGAGAGAGGGAGGAAAGAATAGAGACAAGGTTAGAAAGTATAATGTGCAGGAAGAAAAGGCAAGATCATAGGACCATATCAAATGAGGAAAATAGTGCCTCTCTCTATGGGAATCAGAAGAGCTCCTATGTAGAGAAATATGCATTTATTAGAACTCAAGCCACTTTCTGGAAGGCAAACCCTTGGTATAATCCAAATCAGTTACCTTTTTGTATTCCTATGGTTCTTATACGTCTGTCCTCCTTTGTTATAACTTAAACTCTCTATGTATTTTATAGGTTGATTAAAGATGTCTCAAAGACAAAATTCTTTTTTTTCAAATTTCAGTAGCTTTAGGGGTACAAGTAGTTTTTGGCTACATGGATGAATTATAGAGTAGTGAAGTCCGGGCTTTTAGTGTACCCGTCACACAGATAGTGTGACTATTTGTGTGTGACAAATGTACACACAAATAGTGTACATTGTACACGATGGGTGGTTTTTCATCCCTCATGCTTCTCCCAGCATCCTCCCTTCTGAGTCTCCAATACTCATTGTACTGCCCTTCTTGCCTTTGTCAACCCATTGCTCAGTGCCCGTTTATACGTGAGAACATGTGGTATTTGGTTTTCCATTCCTGAGATATTTTGCTTAGGATAATGGCCTCCAGTTCAATTCAAGTTGCTGCAAAAGACAGTATTTCATTCTTTTCATGACTGAATAGTATTCCATGATGTGTGTGTGTGTGTGTGTGTGTGTGTGTGTGTGTGTGTGTGTGTGTGTGTCTGTATATATCACATTTTCTTTATTCACTCATCAGTTGATGGGCACTTATGTGATTCCATGTCTTTGCAATTGTGCTGTAGTAAACATTTGAGTGCACCTGTCTTATTTATATAATGGGATTGCTGGATCGAATGGTAGATCTATTTTTAGTTCTTTGAGAAACCTCCATGCTGATGTCCATAGAGGTTGTACTAATTTGCACTCCCACCAACAGTATAAAAGCACTCCCTTTTCACCACATCTGTGCCAACATCAATTTTTTTTGTTGTTTACTTTTTTATCATGCCCATTTTGGCTGGGGTAAGTTTCTCATTGTGGTTTTAATTTGCATTTCCCTAATGATTGCTGATATGGAGCATTTTTCATGTTTGTTGGCCATGACAAAATCGTTTATAATTCTTATTTGCTGGAGTACCTAGCACAGTATAAGACATGCATCAGGTGCTTAGAGAAAACTTCACTGACTGAGGTTTGGTGTGGTGGCTCATACCTGTAATCACAGCATTTTGGGAAGTTGAGGCAGGAGGATTACTTGGACTCAGAAGTTCGAGCCTGGGCAACACAGTGAGACCTCGTCTCTACAAAAAAATTTTTAAAATTAGCCAGGCATGGTGGTACATGCCTGTAGTCCTAGCTACTCAGAAGGCTGAGGAGGGAGGATCACCTGAGCCCAGGAGGTCGAGCTTGCGGTGAACCGTGATTGTGCCACTACACTCCATCCTAAACAACAGACTGAGACCCCCAACTCAAAAACAAAACACTTTGTTGGTTAATTCATGTGTTTTTTCTTTAGAAAGTTGCAGGATCTCAGCAGACATCTGGTTCTATTGCAGATATATATTGATTCTTGTAATTCCCAGAAACAGGCTTACTTCTACATTTTTTAATTTGGCCCTTTTTTCCCCTCTCTCATTAGAATTGAGAGCTTTTCCCAGAATAGAGTAATTTAGACTGACATTTTAATGTTAAGTGAATAATTTAAGAAGGAACCCTCAGAACTCATGGGTTTGAGCACACCCTGAATGCTGCGTGCTGGCCATGGGGAACTCTTCTGCTAGTCCCCTCACATCGTTTCAGCACCCATCCTCTCTTTCCCAGGGAGAGGAAGTGACTCTGAATCCGACTTGCCGCATCGAAAGTTGCCAGATGTGAAAAAGGATGACATGTCTGCGCGACGGACTTCCCACGGTGAGCCGAAATCAGCAGTGCCTTTTAACCAGTACCTCCCCAACAAGAGCAATCAGACGGCCTATGTCCCCGCGCCTCTGAGAAAGAAGAAGGCAGAGCGCGAGGAATACCGCAAGAGCTGGAGTACTGCCACCTCCCCCTTGGGTGGGGACAGGCCTTTCAGGTAAGCTCTGAACTCCACCGCTTCCTTCCCAGCCTGGTGTAGGAACCATAGCTCCTGGACGCGGAGGATGTCAAACCACTGATTCAGAACTCGAATGTCAGATTACAAATGGAGGTGGGCAGGACAGATCCTTGGAGAGGGCGAGTCAGGGTAAATAGAAGCCCCAGGAGTGCGCCTAGTACAGAGTGCCTGGCATGCAGTAGAGATGGTCAACAAATACGTGTCTAACCAGCAGATTTTTGAAACCAATTCTACTGATAGGACTTTGGGAACAGATCTGTCATCTGTGTTCTTTGGCGGAGACAGCTTGGCTCCTGATCCAGTCAGACTGGGTATAAAGAGGCTCTGATCTTTATGCAAAAAGATTTTTTAAAAATCTAGATGCCAGTTTATGTAGGTACAAGCTCAAGTATGTAAGTGACTTATGATACATGTTGCACAATCACATGTAGAAACAGTCATAATAAAAGGAAGATTCATTGACTTTCTCATCTCTTTAGAGAAATAGTATTTTTTAAAATATCTGATCATGGTTTTGAATTTATTCAATCATTTATTGAGCAAGTATTTATTGATCATCTACTATCTGTGAGGTGCTGTCTCTTAATAAATATGACATGCCGGGCTCGGTGACTCAGCCTGTAATCCCGTGCCTTTGGGAGGCTGAGGTGAGTGGATTGCCTGAGCCCGCGGGTTCAAGACCCACCTGGGC